GTTCGTGTTTATTTGCCTGGCTGATAAGTAATGAGTGGGAGTTTTTACAAATATTTTTGATTATATAATATTCGAGTTTTGATACCCAGTGTTCGCATAGAAACGTTATATCATGAGAAGTTATTAAGGTCTCAGTATATTGAATATTCGATTTAAGTCCCTGACAATTAAGAGTACACATACTAAACGGTTTTGCACTATTTTCTTTCTTTAATATATTGTTTGAAGCTATTTTGATTAATATAATTTTCTACGGTGACTAAGCAAACAATGGTGACTAAACAAACAATGGTTTCTACGGTGACTAAACAAACAAACAATTAATATAATTTTCTACGGTGACTAAACAAACTAATGACTAAACAAACAATAGATTACGAAAGGCAACACTTTAATGTTTTCAAATCGGCTATTAACTTTTTTCTTAATAACTCTTACGATCCTGATTTGCAGTTTTTTAATGAAAATAAATTTTACTCGCGATTTTTTGAATTAGGAACTTTTAAAAATGAATTAAAATCATTAAATAATAACTTTACAGTGATACACATAAATATAAGAAGTATAATTAAGAATATTACCAAACTAAAACATTTTCTTATAGAATGTAATTATTTGTTCAGTATGATTTGCTTAACAGAAACTAGGTGTTCTGACGAATTATCCAGAATAAATTTAAACCTAATAATTCTAAACTACAAACTATTATCTTATGAGCGAAAAATTCAAAAACGAGGAGGTGGAATTATGACATACATTCATAATAATCTGACAACTAAAATTAGAGACGATCTTTCGGTTTCTGATGCCGATGGTGAGGTCTTTACAATTGAAATAATAAACAAAAAACTAAAAAATATACTAGTGCCCACCTGTTACAGACCACCCGAAGGTGATATAAAAAACTTTTCAAATAACCTAAAACAATTATTTCTAAAAAATAACAAAGAGCACAAAATATTATTCTGTATTGGTGACATAAATATAAACTGCCTACAGTACAATGAAGATGCTGTTACCAAAACTTTTTTTGACAATATGTTTCAGCACTACATCTTTTCTATAATAAACCAACCAAGACGGGTAACATTAAATTCAATCACTGCAATAAACAACATTTTGACTAATTCATTTTATGACTCTTCATTAAAAGTAGGTGTAATCAAAACGGATATATCCGATCACTTTCCGATATACTTTTCCTTTTTTCAAGATACAAAAAATAATAACTCTAAAATCAAAGTCTATAAACGAAAAATTATTTATTTTACTATTCAACAGTTTAAAGACTACCGGCAGTGAGATGGGACATGATTTACCAAGAATGCAACCTTGGTACACCAACTCTGGCACACCAACTTATAATGAATTTATAGAAATTATCTTAAAGCACTATGATAATCACTTCCCTATAATAGAACAAGAATTAAAAGTAAAATATTTACGATGTCCATGGATTACTAGAGGTATAAAAAAATCTTCAAAAAAAAATAAAAAAACTTTACATCAAGTATTTAAAAAATAGAAATGAAAAAATTCTAAATACTTACAAACAATACAAAAATTTATTTGAAAAAATTACTACTCTAACCAAATATAAAATGCAACTGGTGACATTAAAAAAACATGGAATACGATAAAAGAAATAATTAGGAACATAAAAGTTAATTCAAATAGTTTACCTGCTCAAATCATCATAGACAATATAGAGTACAGTGACAAAAATACGATTGCTAAAAAATTCTACAAATTTTTTTGTTAATATTGGCCCTAATCTTGCCTTAAAAATAGTTGGGTAGTGGCAAATGTCTTTACAACGATAAATAAACCTATATTTGAAATTTTTAAGTCTTCGATTAAAACAGGAGTTGTACCGGACAAATTAAAAGTAGCTAAAGTAGTACCAATACTTAAAACAGGTGAATCATACTTAATCAATAACTATAGACCTATCTCGGTACTCCCTATCTCGATACTCCCTTCTCGAAAGAAATATCTATAACAGATTTTATGAGTATTTAATCCAAAATAGAATCCTAAATAAAAAGCAATTTGGTTTCCAAAAGCAATATTCAACTGAACACGCAATCCTTGATTTAGTTAACAACATAAGTGATTCTTTTGATAAAAAACAGTATGTTCTAGGCATCTTTATAGACCTGTCAAAAGCGTTTGATACTGTAAACCATAATATCTTACTTAAAAAAATGGAAAGCTATGGGATAAAAAACATAACCCTTGACTGGTTCAAAAACTATCTAAGTAACAGACATCAATGTGTCTTTTCAGATAATTATGAACACTCATAACTACTAAGAGTTGAGTACGGTGTCCCCCAAGGTTCCATTCTTGGACCTCTTCTGTTTCTTCTATATATTAATGACCTTACAAAAGCCTCGGAAAAACTTGATGTAATTGTGTTTGCCGATGACACAAACTTATTTTATTTATCGAACTCAATCAAGAACCTTTATGAATGTATGAACAAAGAGCTTAAAAGATTAAATTTATGGTTGAAATTAAATAAGTTATCACTAAGTACACAAAAAACAAAATACATATTGTTTCATTCCAAAAAAACAAAAAAATAATATACTAACTAACCTTCCCTCACTAAAAATAGATAAGGTAAACATTGAAAGAACAGAAATAACTAAATTTCTTGGGATACTAATTGACGATAATATATCTTGGAGAGCTCATATAAGTTCAATAAACACCAAAATTTCAAAAATTATTGGGATACTCTAAAAAGTTAAACCTATGTTATCCCAACATAATCTTAAATTGCTTTATTTTTCTTACATCCAAAGTTATCTTACATACGCTAATATTACATGGGCAAGTACACACAAATCTAAATTGAGTACTATTTACATAAGTCAAAAACATGCATCAAGATTAGTTTATAATAAAGATAAACTTATCCACGCTGAACCATTACTAAAAACTATGAATGCACTAAATGTTTACCAAATCAACATCTACCAAAATGTTCTATTTATGCTTAAATACAAACTTGGACTAGTCCCATCGCATTTTTTAGATAACTTCTTTCAAGTAAACTCTAATAGGTATATGGCAAGATCAACAGACAACTTCACACTGCCTAAAATAACAACAAAGTTCTCACGGTTTTCTATTTCCTACCGGGGTCCGTACCTATATAACAAAATCATATTAAAAAATATAGAACTTAAAGTATTAAATAATGCTGCCAACTTGAAAAATAAAATAAAACACCTCATACTTAATACCAACAATTATATCGACATGTATTAACATTTTAACTTAACATTAAAATTTATACTAAAATATTTATGTGTATTACTGACTGTATATTTTTTAACCACTTTTGACTATATATAAAAATAAAATAGACTTTATTTAACCATTTAAAGAGGTACTCGATGATAAGTCTTCATAGACTTCTAGGAGTTTTTCTTTACAACAATATGTATATATCTGAAGTACCAAAAAATTTCTTGTTTTTTTTTTCTTTTCTTATTTTTATTCTTTTATTTTTTAAAAATACTGGTAATTTTTATGATAAGAAACACTATTAATTTACGCTATACTTAGTTAAACTTGTTAACCCAATTTTTATTAGGCTATGTTATTCTTGGTATTATTATCTTATATTTTTACGTGGGATTATATTATGTCATGTAGTTATAACGTAACGATGTATAAATTTATTAAAGTTGTATTTAAAAAAAAAAAAAAATTAGGGAAATCAATCACAAATTTTCATTAAAAGGCCTACACACATGCAGGCAGACACTAAACATGCTGTCATTGAAAAGAAAAAAAGTTCAAAATTCCTTAACTATTTTAACTCCAACTCGCTGGCAACAGTTGGTGAGACAATGTTCAAAAAAAAAAAACGTGGTCCATATCATGGAGCTAAATAGTTTTAAAAACTTTAAGTCACTGTTCTCTGCTTCAGGGTCACCTTTGCGGAAACAGGAAATTGAACAGTGATAAGAGATCATTTCTAATTTCCCAATGTGCCACTTTCAAGTTCGCCAAGAAAATATTGGGATTTTGTACTAATAAAATTCATTCAGTAACACAGATTCTGATTTCAAAGAAATTTGTCTCAAAATAAGATCAGGAAGTGTTCCGTCTGACCTGCAGCCACACAAGGAGACTTTGAGGCTAATATCCGAAAAAATATATAATGATCTAATGGATCTTTTGGAATTTCTACCTAGCAAGTACCATGCGTTTTATAAAAGCATTAAAACCAGCAATAACACGGAAGATTAAGACGATTAACTTGAAGATAAAGACGATTAACATTTTATATTTTTTTTATAGTATTATTGTACCTTTTTAATTCTTATTTTATATGATTATATTGTTTTACTCATGCACATTTAGTATTTGCTAATAAACTTTTTTTTTTGTAACATAAAACCTTTAAAAATGTCCAAATTTTTTATGAAAACTGAATAAAATTATCGGGGGTATACTACCCTGTCACAAAATTACTATTTTTTTACAATAATTAAGGCAAATTTGGAGGTTTTATTAGTTAGATTGGCATAGAATAAGCTATATTATAAAAATTATTAGGTTTAAGTGCATTGCTGGCCGAAATATAATTATTATGAAGTAGAGAAAGACTTCAACCACATGCAAACCACTCTACTGAAAAGTTGATAATAATGACAGTGCAGCCTCCGAGATCCAGATTTAGATCTTTAAAAAAAATGTTTCTTAAATATAACTAGGCTATGAAACATTTCAAAATGCCCTAAAGTTAGTAAAATGTGATTGTTTAACCCGATTTCTTGAAACGAAAAAAACTAAAAAAAGTGACTAATTTATGTTATTTCAGGGTGACCGAATTTCAGATAAAACATCGTCTAGGCAGTCAAATCACAAAACGAAAAAGAGCTTTAAGGCATCTGTGTTATATTGCCACACTTAGTCCAAAAACTTATTAATAAAAATATATATTTGACGTACAATTAAACTTTCAATAAACAAGATTACTATAGCCATTTATTTGCACAAGTAAAAACTAATAACAATCTAGGAAATCGTCTAAAAAAATCGAAAGTTGCATTTTAGCTTCAATTTTCTTTTTCTACATCAAGTATTTATAAATCTCTCCCTTTTAATAAAAATTACTAATAAATACAAAAATAATATATGTGGCTTTCGTGGAAGGAACTTCTTCAAAAAAAATCATGATATTAACTTAAAATTAATACAAATATTAAAGAATAAAACAAAACAAAAAAAGTTACAAAATTAAATATTTTTAATAATTAAAGAAATTTTTTTCATCAAAATAAAAATTAAAAAAAAAAACCTTTAACTTATATTTGTGTACTTATTGCAAACTTGTACACCTTTTATAAACATTTCTTTGAAAAAAAAAAATCGATGGAAAGCTCACAAAGTCAGGGATATTGCAAAAAGTGATAAGAATTCACAAAGCATGAGATGCTTAACAATGCTAATAGCAGAAAATAGTTTAATATAATTATCAAAAACTGTTCAAGTTTAAATAAAAATAAAAAAAAATCATTTGAAAAATAATTTAAAGTACCCCAAAAAGCTAATTGACTTAAGAATTAACATAAGTCAAGACTATAACAATGATGAACGTAAATTCAAATATTTTCAAACTAAAGTTGATGCTCTTTCTAAAAATGTTTCTGGAGTTAAAATTTCAGTTCCTCCTACAAGTATTTCCCATGACTTATTTGCTTGGCCAACCTCATAACCAACACGTACCTCTGAAAGTGATGCACCACCAACAATAAACACAAAAAGACGAGGCAAACTTTTTGTATCTGCCTGAGATTTATCTTTATGCCAGTTACCATACATTCTAGCACTTCTTGCAGTAGATGCTACACCAGGGAGTAATGCCCCACCTTCTCTAGTCATCAAATAAGGAAATAATTTAGAATCCAGCTTACTTTCTACAACATCCTCCATTATGTCTTTGAGATAAGGAACATATCGAGATAGTTGATATGTTTCTTCAGATCTTTCTTTGCGCGATGGCAAAGGTTTTTTTTTGCCACTGTCTTGCACAATAGGAACATCAAGATTAGAAATATTATAAATAGTTTTCTTTCCCTCGTGTGAGATCTTTGCATGCTCCATAAGTTTATTCATACTTTCTTCACTGATTCCTTGTTTCATTATTGCGTACAACAAAATAATACGAAGTTTATTATTTTCAGTGATACTTTGATCAAGTAGTACAGGTACAATGGCCCTCATATGGTCTTTGCTAATTTTTTCTCCATCTTTATCAACTCCAGTAGCTAAATCTTGCTCAACAGCACAGAGCTTTTCTATTTGATTCTTATTATACACATGCAAGCATTCTTCTGCAAGATTAAGATGAAGTGAGTATTTAATCAATTCTTTTTGATATTGTGGCATTTTTTTGAGTAAAAGTGATAAATCTTTAATTGTTGTTGCTTCTTTTGTTCCAGGACCTGAAATACGTTTTAACTCAGAAAATTCCTTTATCATAGAGTTTATCTCTTTTAAAACATTAGCAATATGTTTATGCCGCAATGCAACCCAAAGATCATCGTTCTCATCAAGCAACGCTTCTTTAGGTATATATTCACCACCAGATTGTACTTCATATTTATATACATCATTTTGTATATCTAACAAGTCATAGGCCATTGCCTGATAAGTAAGCTCATGGAGAAGAGGAGAAACAAGATCAAAGCCGCGATCAAGTATTATCATTTGAGATTGCTGTTTTGGCTGCCCTTCTCCCATTGAAGGATCATCTGCTTTATAAGCATTTAAACGATTTAATAGAGCTTGAGCAATGTCTAAAGAAAGTTGAGATGCAGACCGATAACGAATCGATGGATACTCTCCGAGAGATGCACACAAAGTAGCAAGTTGTTCAGCAATTTGATCAATACAAATTGGTCTTTTTTCCTTCATGGTTGCTTGACTAGGACTATATAAATGAGCAAGAGCTAGTTTATTATCAAGAGAAAAAACTTGCATTTCTACAGGCATATAAGCTATATTAATTTCTTTAAGGGTTTTTACTCTTCTTCCAAAACTGCAACTTGCTTTAGCAAATTTTTCAAACAAAATTTCAGGACAAACTTCTGTGAAAAAAATATGAGCACCTGTGTATCGAGGATTATTTGAGTCTTTGAAGTCATCAATAATAGCTTGAACCGAGCTATCAGTAGGTGAAACAAAATAAATTGCTTCTAAGGGAAGAGATTGTCTTCCTTTTGTTAAGTCTTCAACTATTGTAATTCCTTCCATAACAATATCACGCATCTTACAGCAAGACGAAACGACTCGAGTAGACAGGGGATCTAATACCAACGCTTTCCATTCTCCTGGTACTTTAACACTTTTTATAACTTCGTTAAGAATTTTTTCACCAACAATACTTTTCAACGACATTTTAAAAAACTGTATTAAAAAGTTTTAATCAAACTGTTTGGTAAACTCAAATTACCTATATTGAAACATTTAACGTTATCTTTCCTTAAATTTCAGTCTTATATAATAACCCTTTCCTTATTAATAAAATGTTTTTTGCGTAATCACACTCCTTTAAACGCACTCACTCGTTTTAAAATAATGTTTTGTAGTTGGTTTAATTCTAGAATATGTGACCATATTTTAAATAAATTGGTTAAAGGAAAAAAATTCCACCAGAAAAAATCCACCCCAAAAAACCCCCCCAAGAAAAAATTCCCCTGGGCAAGTTTGTTAAACTTATGCTGTTTCTGTTCAGCGGAAAGATATAGAGTTTTTCAAATCCAGAATTGTATCCCGTCCCCAGTGGTGCCAAACATCGAAAAAGTGGCAGAAGTAAAAAATTTTTTTATGTATTATAGATAAAAGATAAAAATTCTAGCCGTAAAGAAGTTCAACAGATGTGAATCCAGTCTAAAACTTAAAAAGTCAACATTCAGAGAGCTTGTTAGCATTAATAAACTTGGAAAATTTCACTAATTAATGTTTAACAAAAATAATTGTTATGCGTCAAATGTCTGCCTAAAATTTAAAAATGACTCAAAAACATTTTTTTTTTTTTTACATTTTTGTCTTTGTTTACAAAGATAAACAGACAAGGCTTCTGAAAGAAGATCACAATAATCTTATCATTAGAACTATTTACAAGTTATTCAAAATCAGTACATTAACAAAATTAAAAAATTACAATAAATTGTGATATAAATTGGAAATATAAATCAAACCACTAATGTTATATATAATAAAAAGTCTGATCATATCATCAGATCTTATAAAAACGTAAATATATAAATACATATATATACAAAATAAATACAGTAAAACATTACTTTTTAATAAGCAAGAGAATATACAACAGTCTTACAATTAAAAAGACAAATACGTGATTGTTATAAATAGTATTTAAATATATCATTAATAGATAAAATAAAATTTTTAAGTTTACTTTTAAAGATTGGAAATGTATTGGATCAAAATTAGGTATAACAATTTTATTCCAAAGATAAGGAGCTCGTAATGTAATGCAAAATTTGTTAAATTTTGTTCTGCAAATAGGATCATGTACAAAATTTTTTTTTCTAAGTAAATATTTATTAATTGGGTTTAGAGAAAAAAGGTCTTTAAAGATAGGTAAAGTTAAATCGTTTTTCCACATGTAAATAAAGCATAAAATGTTATAAACATTGAGGTCGTAAGTATTAAATATTTTCATCTCCATAAATAATGGTTTGGAATGAGTAAAACAATCCTCAAAATTAATCAATCGGATTGCATGCTTCTGACGGCGAAAAAGGCATATTAGTTTACTTTTTTTGGTGCTTCCCCACGCTATGTTGACATAATTAATATAGGTGTGAATAAATGAGTAATAGAGTTGGGTTAAGACTTTTATGTTTAAATATGATCTGGATTTATATATGACTCCGCTACTTTTAGACATTTTCGAGCAAATGTATGCGTTTTCCATGTAATGTTCTCGTCGTGAACCACTCCTAAAAATTTAGTAACAAAATCTCTTTTTATTTCAACTTTATCAATAAATATTTTGGGCAAATTTTGGCGTAAATAGCATTTTTTAGAGAATGAATGGAAAAGATTCCATTTGGTTTTATTAATTTTAAGAGTTAACTTGTTACATTTGAACCAAGTAGATATGTTTTTAAGTTCATCATTCATTGTAGAAAAGAGTTTGGATATGTCATTATTAGTCAGTAATAAGTTGGTGTTGTCGGCAAACATGATACTCATTAAGTTTGAGGCTTTATTTAAGTCATTTATATAGATTAAGAACAAAAGTGGCCCCAAGATAGAACCTTAGGGAACACCACAGGAAATATTTATTAGATGGCTTTGGTTATAGTTATTTACAAAAACAAATTGTTTACGGTTTGATAAGTAACTACGAAGCCATTTTATATTTATATAGTTTAATCCGTAGTATTTTAGTTTTTCAAGCAGGATTTCATGGTCGACAGTATCAAAAGCCTTCGACAAGTCAATAAAAACACCTAATGTAAACTGGAATCTTTGAAAGGAATTTGAGGTTTCTCGTACAAATTGGATGATTGCATGTTCGGTAGAATTATTTTTTCTGAAACCAAATTGGTTATTATAAAAAAGATTATTGGAGACAAGATAATTGTATATTCTATTGTACATAATACGCTCTAAAATTTTTGAAAAGGTAGAAAGAATAAATATAGAGCAATAGTTACTGATAATGCAGTAGTCTCCTTTTTTCAAAATTGGAATAACTTTTGCAATTTTTAGACGATCAGGAAAAACTCCTTCGTCGACAGATGATTTATAAACTTTATAAAGAATATTTTTGAGATGATCAAAACACTCGATAATTATGTTACCATTACTTCCATCAGCTCCGATGGTTTTTTTTTAGTGATTTTAAGGCGATTTCGAATTCATCAAAAAATATTTCAGAGTATATTTTTTGGAACAGTTGCAATCATCCATTGGTACTAAGAAGTCATTAAAGGCGATCGTGGTAAAGGGAACTTTATTAGCTAATTTAAAGCCGATTTTGATAAAGTATTAATTAAATTCGTTAGAAATAGTTTTTGATTCATAAATACTTTTGCTATCAACTATAATCGTATGGGGGAGGGAACCTAAGCATGTGTTTTGATTGCCAGTAATTTCTTTTATTACTTTCCAAGTGCGCTTAGATTTGTTTTTAAATTTGTCAAATATTCTAGAGTAATAATTTTTTTTTAAACGTTTACGAATTTTTTTGAACAAATATTTATAATTTTTGTATATTTTTTTTCATTTTTAGACGATTTCGTTTTAAGATATTTTATATACAACTTCTGTTTTGTTTTAGATGACTTTTTAAAACCCTTTAATAACCCTTCAAGGGTTATTAAAATTTTTCATTTTAATTGTTTTTTTAATAATTAAAAAGCTAGCATCATATACGGCGTAAAATGTTTTAAAGAAGGTCTCATAAATGGTGTCAGCATTCCCCTTGAAATTAATATGATTCCAGCGCAAAAGAGATAACTATTTTTTAAAAAGATTCATATTGGTTAGATTAATATCTTGAATAAATATTGTTTTAGAATTAATATTATTTGAAGCGTTTGAAAGAGTCAGAAACACTGGGAAATGATCAGAAATGTCAGATTTTAAAATGCCTTTTTGAAAGTCATTATTAAAGATATTAGTTGTAATGATAAGTTTTTATGTTATATAAGTATTTTATATAACATAAAAATTATATTATTTTATATAAGTTGTAATGTTGAGTTTTTAGTTATCCTAGTAGGGCGATTAATCAAAGTAACTGCTCCAGCTTCAAAAATTGAGTCGTAGAAGTTTTTAACTTTATTGCCCTTATAAAAAAGTTTGTCAAATTAAAAAGTTTGTTATATTAAAAAATTTGTCAAACTTAATTGTGTATTAATGAGGTTTTTGATTTAAACAATATAAAGAATTTGCAAACTATTTTACACAAAGCCTTTTATGCTTTTTATGTTGTTGATTCTAATACTTTTCATACATTTTTTAAAAATAACTTTAACCAAGTCATGTTGCTTAAGGGTCGTCCATAAAGTACGTACGCCAAAAATTGAGAAATTTAGCCCCCTCACCCCTGTTGCCATGCGTACTTTTAAGTCCCCACCCCCTTTGAAAAGTGCGTACGTTTTTCAAATACCCGCCCCCCAAAAAAACTTTTTTTTCAATAAAAAAGTTAATTTTACTACATTAGTGCCGTTTACAATGTATAAAATAAAATATTGTGCATATAATAAGAGTTTTTTTTCAGTACAAATAATAAATTTAACACAAATAATAAATATAAAAACGTTGTTAAAACAACGCGGGAAACTTGCAGAAGACCATGTGGTCTCGTAATCAAGAAACCGCTTTTAGTTGCGATGTTTTTGTATGCTTAATTTGTTAAAAAAAAATCAATTTAGCAAAGTCTTATGGTGGCATTAGATTCACATGTAAAAAGCTATTAGATAATCAAAAAGAGAAAAGAGCTGTATTTTATACACATAAATATATAATTACATGGCTTGTTAAACTTAATATTTTGATATGACATCTACGAAATATATGTTTTGCTTTGAAGTTAATTTTTAAGGGTTTCTTTTTAGTTATTTGCTTTAATATACGTTCGTAAAACTGATTATGTTTAGAACAGGGTTTTTTAATAGTACTTTCAAAGAATTTGGGTAATGTTACTTTGTAGTTGTAGTATTTTTAGATATTAGTTTGTTGTAGACGTAAGGGCAACGATATGATAGAAAAGCGTGATTATATTTAGTCCAAGTTTATATTTAGGCATGAACAATAAATTCTGATAGATGTTAATTTTCTAAATTTTATAATAAAATAGTTTTATAATTTTAGTGCATAAAGAAGTTTTAGCAATGGGTTCAGCATGAATAAACTTATCTTTATTAAATACTATTCTTGCAGCATGTTTTTGATGTCGATAGACTGCCACTAGGTTGGATCTATGGGTACTTGCCCATGCTATATAATACCATACGCATAATAGGTTTAAAAGAAAGAAAAATAAAGTAGGTCTAGATTTTTTTCAGGTAATATTGGTCAAGCTTTGTAAAGCATACAAATGCTATTTCTTATTTTATTATTTAAAAAGCTTATATGGGCTTTTCATGAAATATTCTCATCGATTATCCCTAAAAAATCGCTGCTTTGTTTTTTTAAAAGTTTTTTTCTATTTTTAGAAATGGTAATATATTTGGTATAAGTATCTACAGAGTAACTAAAATAGTTAAATTAATTAAAATAGACTCAGTGAATGTTAAAAGGGCGAAAGTCCAATAATGTAAACTTTCGGAAACTAAAAAAAAATTGCATTTTTCCCTGTAGTAAATTTTTGTTAATAGTTCAATAATTTTTTTTTTGAAGGTGAAAAACATTAACCTCTTCAAAAAAAAGGTGAAAAACATTATCCTCTTCTTTTTTGAAGATGAAAAACTTTTTCCTTTTCTTTTTTGAAGATGAAAAACATTATCCTCTTCTTTTTTGAAGATGAAAAACATTATCCTCTTTAAAAAAAAAAAAAATTAACAAACCATTAACAAAAATTTACCACGGGGGAAAATGCATTTTCCCCCGTGGTAAATTTTTTTATTCAGCGATTCAAAAGGAAAAAGCGCACCCTACGTTCACATAATCTGTATATAATCACAAATAAAGATTTTAAAATAACTTAAAGTTTTTGCTTACATAGTTTTATTTACAAGCTTATATATTAGTTAAAATCGAGTTTACCAACTGTAAAAAAAAAGTTTAGAACAGTAAACAATTTGAGTTACTCATACGTATCACTTAAAAAGGTTTGATCATGCTTTTGGCATATTCGGTATAAAAAAAATTATAAAAAATTAACAAAAACCTTTTGTTTTTGTTAACTTTTTGTTAACTTTTTTTTCCAGATTTTTAATTGTAGTTTAAGTTTACAGTTTAGTTTAGGATAGGTTTTAAAATTATTTCAAATATATAAAAGTTATCTAACTTCATTATTAGCCATTGATCAAAAATAACAAATTGCAGAACTGAGAACTTAACTGTTTATTGTAAACAAGGACCTTATGTAGTTTTTCTTATGAAACCGGTGTTTGCAAATATTCGTCGAAAACAAAGTTAGTTTTAATTTGCTCTAAAGAGAGCTACACCAACAATAATTGAAATCCAACATCACAGTTATAAGTTGTTTTTAAATGATAAATGTTTATTGTTATGTAAAATATTTTCAGTTAATGTCAGGTAAAAAAATTAATGTAAAAAAGCAAAAAGTATAAAACACTAGAGGTTTTTCAATATTTATAGTCGGTACTGATTTTCAATCGAGCTCATTCTTTTGTCAAGGCTATCAAGATTTTTGTATTGTTCGTGGACTTGTTTGCTCATATCACAGTGGATCTAAAAAAAAAAGTTATAAAGTAAAATGCAGAAAATTGGGTAAAACGGAATAAACAAAATTTAAATAAAGAACAAAAGTGACATAGGAGACAAAACTGAATAAATTTACAAGCATGCGCACACACACAAAGACACACGCGTACATTCATATACATAGGTTTCTTCAATTTTGTCATAACAAATTTAAACTAGCTATTTAATTTGTAAAATGAATTTGATTATTAATAATTATTAGATTTTTTTCTAAACGCCCATTAAAACTAGTAGCTGTGCTATTAGTTACAGGGTCAATGCTAAAACGATAATTAAAACTAGTACGAAACATTGAAACATTAATTATGCTGCTAATAACAACGTCAATGTGCACACTCGCAGAAAGTGTGGTGTTTTCCTCCACACCGGTGTGTAGCTATCACTCCTAGACACAAGTGTGGAGATATTTTGCACAATTTTGTGCAAATAACTTCACACTTCTGTGCAGAAGTCTAGTTAGAAAAAATTAGTTTCCGCAAAAGTGTGCAAAATAACTCCACAGTTGTGTCTAGGAGTGATAGCTACACACCGGTGTGGAGGAAAACTCCACACTTTCCGCGAGAGTGTAGCTCGTTATTATTTCTCATTTGTTTGTTGTTTACAAACCTTAATTGAGTTAGATTTTAGAGTATTTTTTATTTGGGTTTAGGCAACCCATTTTTCAAACAGGCTGGACAGAAAAAAAGCTATTTTTTTTACAGTAAAACAGTTTTTTTTAACCATTTTTGTATTTTATTGCCTATCAATAAGTTTTTTTTTGCTACGCATGAATTAACAAATAAGCAATAAAATAAAGAAAAGACTTTTTTTATTTTTATTACCTTTTAATTTTAAAAAAACTAATTGATATTGTTGTCTTGACTTTCACATCATTTGAATTAAATTTATTATTTTTTAAAAATAAAAACTGAAAAATTAGATTAAATAACAAACATTTTTTTGCTTGGGTTTGTTGGGCTCTATTTTTTCTACAGTAAAAATTGTTTTATTGTAGAAAAAATAGCTTAATCTACTTAGCTTTTCAAAAAATATAGTGAACTTCGGTTCGAGACAAAATATTTGAAGCATAAAAATTACAAATAAATACCTCTTTAAACCCTTGACTAGTTGAAACCCAATAAGAACCGGTACGGGCTTGAGGATTTGCATTAATAATATCTATGCAACCTTCAGGATTACCTAGCCTAAAGAAAATTCCCAACTGATTGGATTTCAACTTTTTTTTTCTTTTCATGGTTAGTTTGTTATATGGAATTGTTACCAAAACAGGTTAATTTTTGCAAGCTAAAATTTAAGTGTGTTCATGTTGTCATGGAGTGCAGTCTAAAGTACCTACCTTTCATTTGATATACTTCTTTTCTTAAAAATTTTTTTTGCCATCTTTGAAACAGAAGCTCTTTTTTTTGCCGATCCCATTGAGGATTCTGTTTTTGTTATAGTTGTGGTACTAGTTGAACTGGCATTGCTTTTTGTTTTTGTTTTTGTACCATTCTCGTTTACGTAATCTTTAGACGCATCATTTGTTGTATCGATATCAGACTTTTTAGCAGCAATTTCTGCTTTTTTTACTCCTACTGCAGACTCAGTATCGGTAGTAGTTTCAGAAGATGAGCCTGATTTTCCGCTACTCTCAGAACCGGCTCCAGAGTTTGAACCAGCCGCAGATCCAGATGAGCTACCGCCTCGACCTTTTATAGAGTTTTTATTAAAAATTACAAATAATAATTTCTGACATTTGTAAAGACAAAATATTTATTTTTATTATTACTCTACTTTTATTTATATATTGATTTAGTACTGTTATTATTACTATCTTTAATTAGTTAACAATAACTATAATTATCTATAATTAATTTAGCTTATATTGTACCTGACGATTGTCCTTCGCCTTGACCTCTAGCTCCGCCTTCGCCTAAAATAAAAAATTAAATATAAAACATTGTTATAAAAAAAAACTATTAATAATTTCAAAAGGCCATTTCAGCAAGTGATAAAATTCTGCATGCTCACTAAGCAATACATAAATTTACTTAAAAGAGATTATTTAGTCACAACAGTTTTACAATCAGGTCTCAAAGCAATGACTTTACCTTTTAAATATAGTCATGAACTAGACTTCCTCTTCTTCTTTTGTTGTTTGCTTTGAGCAAGCAGTTCATCGCACTACTATAATATATTTTTTTCTTATCACTTGCTGCGATGTCCGAATCATATTTGAATGTAGAAACTGAGATTGTATGTGTATCCGCGACCGCGTAAAAATAAAACAGTATAAAATGTTTTGATTGTGTATTTATATATATATATTATTTTATCTATTAGTTATTACTTCCGGCAGATCCCCTTGCGCCACCTGCAGCTGATCCACCAGCGTTTGCTTCTGTTGCAGCGCCTGTAGAAGTTGAAGTTTTAGTTCCCGTTCCCGTTTCAGTTGTAGTTTCGCTCTAATTTTTAAAAAAATAATATATTTATAACTAGAAAAGCTAAATTAAAATTGTTATTATTTTTTAATTAAAAAAATTAAAAAAATGTTTGTTAAGTTTTATATTTTATTAAACTATGAAAAACTAAAAAAAATTTACAATTAGCATTGTTAAACATATCTAAAACAAGTCGTTAATCTTTATAAACCAAGTCAAGTTATATACAAAATTTAAAATACATATAAACGAATACACAGGAACGCAATCAACTTTAAAGTCTAATATGCATAGATTGAGAAAATGGTCACAATTACGTCACTTGTAAATATTTAGCAAGTATTTGTGTAACATTGTGCACTACTGAGCAAAGTAATTATCTTGACACGTTGCAGACATTATTCAGGCGCTGTTACACAACACGCTTAGCAAGACTTTTTAACACGTTTTTTTCGTGCAAGGACCACTCTTCTCTGCTTTGATACACACGTCGGTTTTTGCATCAATTTTTGGCTTCTTTTTCTGAAGAAAATGAAAAAAAAAAGCTTAGTAACCGTTTTGTGTAACAAACGCCAAAGTTGTTTTAATCTGCCATGCAGGAAAAGATAAAGTTATAATTTTCAAAAAGTAAAATGAACATTCATACCTGTGTTTCTACTTCCGTAGTTTCCATTGGAGGGGGTGGAATAGGACAAGCTGGTGGACAAGGTGGGGGTGGAGGTGGACATGGTGGGGGTGGACATGGTGGGGGAGGACATGGTGGAGGAGGAGGTGGACATGGTGGTGGACATGGAGGTGGACATGGTGGTGGACATGGTGGAGGTGGTGGTGGTGGTGGAGGGCATGGAGGAGGTGGTGGTGGTGGAGGAGGTGGTGGTGGTGGGCATGGTGGAGGAGGAGGTGGAGGAGGAGGACATGGTGGTGGTGGTGGAGGACATGGAGGTGGACATGGTGGAGGTGGAGGAGGTGGTGGAGGTGGTGGTGGTGGAGGAGGAGGAGGTGGTGGCGGAGGACATGGTGGGGGACAAGGTGGTGGGCAAGGAGGTGGTGGTGGTGGACATGGTGGAGGAGCTGGAGGATGACAAGGAGCTGCAGAAGGACAACAAGAATCTCCTAAGTTTACTTCAGCTGAAGACGCTGCTTTAATGGAAACATCTTCTTTCTAAAACAAAAAATAAACTAAAAATAAATTTGAAATTATCACCAAAATTTGGAAATAAAAGTAAACTTGAATTATAAGGTTATAAATAAATTATAGTTAGTTAAAGAGAAAAAACTCTTTCATTTATATTAAAAGTAAAAATCTTCTACCTTTGTTGCTTTAACATTTTTGTTCTTTTTTCGTTTTGGTAATTTAGTTGAGAGCTTTGGTTGGTTTTTTTTTTCTTTTACAGGAAGCGTTGCAGCTTTTGGATTCTCTGGTTCTTCAACGTTTTTGGAGACGTTTGCAAGTTTTTTCTCGGTCTTTGGTTTTTTAAAACTAAGAGGGATGTTAACATTTTGATTGGGATGTGATTCAACACGCCAAACATATTCACCTTTAGCTTTTTTATTGAATTTATTAGCATAGCTATAACGGAAAACAAAGCAAAGCGAATTGGTTCCATGCATGCGAATAGCGGTTCATTTTCAGCAAACATTTTTGACTCATTTTTTTTTTAAACACAGAGTTCCCTTTTCCCCCAAATACAATGCGTTCAAATTATCGCAAGCAACCTTGTGGTCAAACAAAATTTTCCGCTATTAACTGATTTAGAAAATTGGGCATCTAACATGCATGGAACATAAAAAAGCAGTATCATACCTGGCTTTTTTCTGTTCTTCCTCTTTTTTGTTTACAGGAACAACTGGTTTAGCAAGTGTCGCAACTGGAGCTGATAAGGGAAGAGTGTTTTGGGTTGATGTATTTTGACCTACCCCATTAGGTGCAGATATTTCAGAAGCAGCCTTTGTTACTGGAGCAGCAGGTGCTTGTTGTCCAGTTTTAGCAGCAATCTGCTTTTGAGCAGCGGCTGGAAGCGCCTTAGCTTTTTCGGCTGGAAGCGCCTTAGCTTTTTCGACTGGAGATACTACAACTGGACTGTTAGTTTTTTCAATTTCATCTGGAGTTTTATTGATCTTTGGACTTTTGTATAAATTTACCCACGCCTCATGGGATTTAGCGTTTTGTTGTTGTGCTTTAAGGGCGCGTTCCGCTGGTGTTAACTTTTTGGCTTCGATGAAGATAACCAATAAATTGATACATAGTATCAGTAAAGCCGTCCTCATCGTGGACCGTTTGATTATTTTCTATAAAAGTTTACCAAACACATTAAAAAAAAACATTTTAAAATACACAAAAAAGCAACATTAATACGGTATTTACATTTAACAGAAATTAGTATGTACATTTAATTAATTTGGACTAAGATATAAAAGTATAACAATCAGGAAACAAAAAATAAAAAATGTTGTAATACTATTTCCAAGCACGTCAAGGAAGCTGAGCCAAGAAAGTTTGATAAGTTTAGAGCCCCTTAAAAGATTTACTGAACCATAAAAAATTGCATGATCATATTTAAGATAAAGATATTTAAGAACAAACTTAAGATAAAAGTATTTTGTACATTGATTACATGATGTCCCAAAATACAAACATTTTTAGTCAAAAATAGAAATACAAAAAACATGCACAAGAACCATCAGTTAAAAGCTTTTTTGCGTCATTTTTTTAAATTTGATCTGACCGCGTGTTCACACTCAAATGCACGGGATTAACCGTACAGCAGTAGATTACGCGGTTTTTCATGCTTAATGCAATAAGACTTAAAATTCAAGTGATAATACAAACTTATCTTATGCAAGCAAGCATATTATAGTTAAATAATCCAAAGTTTTCTTGATCGGAACTAAATGTTTTCCAAACCAAATCATAATAAAATCAGGGGGTTATTAAAGATATAGTTAAGGTACAGTTTAAAAACAAAAAGTAAATCTTAAATAACAAGTTATTCAGTAATTTTTACTAAGCTAAAGAAAAATACGTTGGAATGGTTGGAATTTTTGTGCAATTAAAACTGTGGGTTTTATTTTGTTAAGGTAACCTCAATTTCAAATGATTTTTTTTTTTAATTTAAATGAGGTATTTAAACTGCCACATAACTTTTTTTTATTATATTTTTTTAAAAAGAATTAACAATTCCAATTTAGATAACCGTTTGCCTTGATTAAAGCAAAATAGTGAGATAAAAAACCGGGTTCTTTTCAAATAGAAACACAATCAACTACGTCAAGTCATAAGCAAACGTATAGGAGAGTTGTTTATCTAGGTTAATAAATTCCAAAATGTTTCCATAGTTAAGTCAACTTTGGTTCAAAAAAGATTTATTAGCGTTTTTTACATTAACTTTTTGGCAACTCTTCATTACTAATAAGAATAAATGGTAATTTTTTTAAATTATTTATTTTAAACTTATTATAAATTACGATTTTTTGACTTGGTAAAAAATCTAACCTGTTTTAATGATTTTTTAAGAATGAAAAAAAAAATAGTTCCTTAAGTTTTCAAACCTATATTTCAGGTTTTAACTTTGCTCAAAAAAACTAACCCACGTGGTGGCTAACACAAATTAGCGGTTCATTATCAGCCTTTTTTTATTTTAATTGTGGTCTTGGATTTAAGGTAAAATAACGACATAACAAGGTACAAAAATTATTAAATTTTTTGATTTTAAAACAAAAAGTTTTTAATACTTCAATGAGAATTTTGAATCGACTAATCTCAATAAATAATGAATTAAAAATAAAAAATTAATTAATGTCACTTTATTATCTCTAATCTAATATCACACATTTTATCACACCTGTTATATTATATAATCTAGTATCACATAGACTTTTACACATTTGGAAAGACTTAAAAGTATTTTTTTTGACTTAATTATCTTTTTATTAAATTTATATCATTATGAATTAAATTTACAAAAACTCAGTAACTTTTCAAAAACTGTCAAATAATATCTAATCTGCTATTACTGAGGTCTAAATTCAAAAGTAAAAATAAGAAAAAACAAATTCGAATCAAGTAAAAAAGTTTTTACAGTAATAAACCGTTATTTAAAGTTGTAAGACCTTTTAAAATGATTAGCTGTTCTTTATTTGAATGCAAGCATGCACTAGGAACTACTGAACCTTTTTTTACAAGAAGCGGGCGGACGTCTCGCTGTCACCTTTCCAAAGACAGAATAATTAAGCTCAAAAAGTGACAAAGGTTGGCACAATTTAAAATAGAAAAATTAAAATACATACTTCTTCTCCTGTTGACTTTGTTATTTCTACACCAAGAAATAATTATTTTTGTGAGAGTAAGTTTCCGAATAGGCAGAAGGGGTTAATTCAAATTTGTTAGGTGCATTGTTGATACGCTTGAAAGAACAAGAACAGGTTGAAGTTATACACAAAAATTAAGATCTACACAAGTGTGACTTTTTCTGCATAAACAAAAACCGTTGCTATGGTTCATTTTATCAGATTCAAAACAAATAAACAAACAAAACGAGTCATTAAATTTAAATAAACCGTTTCGCAAAAACTTTACACAGGTTTCGTGATCGCACATACAATGTATGAGCGATGCTAAAATATTTACAAAAAATCATAAACAGATCAAAAATTTAAAAAACTTTAATTTTTTCTTTTATATATTTACGAAAGTTTTAAACACTGGACATTAAAATTATCGCCTTTATACTTGCAAACTAAATCCAAAATTTTGTATTTCTTCTGCAACGCGCGTGATGTTTCGAGTTCGTATATTGTATTTAAATTTAACAAGACATCTTCATGAAGACTTTTTTCCGGCGTTTTCCATACCATCGTTTCTAACACCGTACAAGCCTTTAAAAAAATATTTTTGATGTTATGTTTATATAAGTATAAATTATTAAATAAATCAAATAAAAAGTATCGACAATAACTTTTTTTTAGTTTTTTTCACGCACTCACTATCACATAGGTATAAAATTTTTAACTATATTACTCTACAACAATTCAACTCCTGTCCCTAAGGTGTATTTTGTACCACCAATCTACCCTATTTTTAACACACTATCTAATAAAATAACGCAATAATAAACTCTATATTTAATAAAATCAGACTTTCACTTATGACAACACTCTGTTCACAGTAATCATATGTAAATTACTCAGATTGATACAAACAGAAAGATTTTTTTTTATTAATTTTAAAATATGAAATAACATTTTACCTCTTTTACTTTACCCAAAAACAGCAAGCATACTGCAGCGTTGTTTATTGTCTACACCGAAAAAAAAGTTATGAGAATTTATAATATAATTTAAAATAAAGTGTGCGTGTTTGCGCGTCTCTCTCTCTCTCTCTCTCTCTCTCTCTCTCTCTCTCTCTCTCTCTCTCTCTCTCATATATATATATATATATATATATATATATATATATATAGGATTATAAAATTTCTCTTTAAAGCAAAATCAACACAAAAAAATGATAAAAAACTAATTTCACTATTCAATATAGGCAGCAAATTGAAATAAGTTCATTCATGAAAAAAACTCAAGAAATAATAATAATAATATATTTAGTGTAACAACAATATATACATTGTTGCAGGGCATACTGTGATGCTGTTAATGTTTTAAATTGTCAAATTTAGTTTTAACACAATTTACGTCAGGGTTAAGGGTTACCTTGAAGAAATAACAAATTAGACCTTAAAGATATAGTTCGGCAAAGAAATTTCTTATTTTTTCAAAGTTATTTCTTGAGGAACACTTAAACTTTTCACGTTTTTAAAATTTTTAATTCTTTTACTGTGTCCACTATGCTTGATAAAAGACTGTCGCTTGTTAGTGAAGAAACCAGTTTGGGATTTTTGAACCCATTCACAATTTGTAAGTCATTTGATATTTTATATTGGCATATCAAATCCTCCCTAGTTATGCGATTTGCTAAAGTTGTTAAATTTAGTTTTCGTAATCGATCTTCATATGGAAGGTTTTTGAGATCTGGAATGAGTTTTAGGGCTCTTATTTGAAGCTTTTCAAGTTCTACTATATCATTGATTAGAGTTGGGTTCCAAGCTGGTACTGAATATTCAAGATGATGTCTCACTATTAAGATGACGTCTCACTAGTATAAAATATAATGACTTAACTATGTCCGAATTTAAATAAGTAAAAGTTTTTTTATTAAAGCCAGTGTCCTTTGCGCTTTACTGATTTTACTTGCTCAAGCCATTTTAGATTTACATATTTAGGTTTTATTTTAGATTTTATTCAATTAAACAAGTTTGATATCATGTTGTAATAATCTATTTACAAGAAACCAATAACAAAAAATAAAAATAAAAAAATACTAAAAAAAAATTTACCGAAAGATTACTTGGGTTGGTTTGTTTTGCTGCATCGGAAAAATGTTTATATGCTTCTTCATAATTCCCTTGACATAAATTATAGTACCCTCTAAAAATAAATTATAGTATACTCTAGAAATAAATAACAGCGCCCTCTAGAAACAAATACTATTCTCGAGAAAGTATTCTTTAAAAATAAATTATATCGTCGTAAAGAATATTTTTCTTAAAGACAATTAATACTTTTCTTAAAGAAATAAGCACGCCCAGACGTCGGTAAGACGCATGGAAGACCCCCGGAAGACGCATGCCCACTGGGTTAAAAATAAAATACTTAATAAAATGGGAATCTAATGGCATACCTATGCCAAATGAAGAGGCCATGCAAAAAATTGGGATGGCGGAGACCTGGAAACAAAAAAGGCCTAAAACGCTTGTCCTCCATGTCCAAACATAAGTGTACCGGTGTAGGAAAATTTTTAACTTAACTATCTTAAACTAAATTTAAATTTATCGACAGATTTAGAAACAGCAAAATTTACAATCCCCTAATTTTTTTTTTTTGGGGGATGGAGGTTAAAAAATTGCATGGTCATAACTTATGCAATTTAAAATACTTTTCTATGAAATTTAAAATCTGTCAATAAATTTAAATTTAGTTTGAGTTATTAAAGTTGAAAATTTTACTAGATTAGTACCCTCACATCTAAGCAAGGGGAGGGGGATTGAGGCAAGAGTTTCAGAGCTTTTTTGTTCCCAGGCTTTTGCCATCCCAGTTTTTTGCAAGGCTATCTCATTTGGCAATTAAAAAATCAAGTTTGAAGTTTGCAAAATGTGTGATATGTCCTATATATATATATATATATATATATATATATATATATATATATATATATATATATATATATATATATATATATATATATATATATATATATATATATATATATATATACATATATATATACATATATATACATATATATACATATATATACATATATATACATATATATACATATATATACATATATATACATATATATACATATATATATATATATATATATATATATACATATATATATATATTATATATATATATATATGTATATATATGTATATATATGTATATATATATGTATATATATATGTACATATGTGTGTACATATATATATATATATATATATATATATATATATATATATATATATATATATATATATATATATATATATACATATATATACATATATATACATATATATACATATATATACATATATATACATATATATACATATATATACATATATATACATATATATACATATATATATATATATATATATATATATATATATATATATATATATATATATATACATATATATATATATATATATATATATATATATATATATATATATATATATATATATATATATATATATATATATATATATATGTATATATATGTATATATATGTATATATATGTATATATATGTATATATATATGTACATATGTGTGTACATATGTATATATATGTACATTTGTATGTATGTATGTATGTATGTATGTATGTATGTATGTATGTATGTATTTAAGTATATGTGCATATATGCATAATAAGATTATGACTTTTTAACTCTTTGTAAAATAATTAATTTCCTGTCATAAATGGATGAACTTTTGCTTAAAAATAACGAAAACGGGTTTTCTGATTAATTTTCAAAAAAGGTCACCCACAGTATAAAACTTTTAAAACGATATATAAGTTGTATTTACAGACAGTAGCATTATGACTTTCTAAAGTCTAAAATTTTCTTGAACTTTCTAGATGTTTTTACAAACCTCTGAAACGCTCTAAAATTTTCTGAAGTCTTCTAGAGGTTTATGGAAGCAAGATTTAGACTATATAAGCTACCATTGATTTAGACTATATAAGCTACCATTGATTTAGACTATATAAGCTACCATTGATTTAGACTATATAAGCTACCATTGATTTAGACTATATAAGCTACCATTGATTTAGACTATATAAGCTACCATTGAGTAACGCAAATAAATATATATGAACCTGTGGCAGTCAAATGATATAGAAATGCAATATATATAGATATATTGCCTTTCAAAAAAATATTCAAATATATATTCTTCAATCTTAATGTTCTCTATGAAAAGTGCTTCTACTACTGAAACAAGACAATTTGGATGAAGAATCTCGTACGATTTTATGAGTCACATAAGAAAAGCAGAACTGTACCACTAGAAGAGCAATCACTGAAACATAGCCGCTCAAAATCAAAATTTTGAGCGGCTATGCAGTGAGGACAAAAGATTGTATCATCTTCAGATTAAAAGCAAAGGACAGGTTGGGTATACAACTGGGAAGGCTGCTATTTCAAACACTGTCCATCCATCCAAAAGAAGAAAAATGTCCTTGAAGCCTACAAGAGAAACAACAACAATAACAATGTCAACTTCCGAATCTGAGTTTGAGTCCACAAGTACCAGTAAGAACTACAGCAAAACCAAAACTGCAACCAAATTAGTTACATCTTCAAAGTTATCCACCAGCAAAACAGCAACCATTTGTTGACAATTATCTCAAGATGGGATTGACATTCAGACACCTTCACAGTCTAGTGTAACGGGTGTTCACTTGAAATCCGGACTGACTTTAAGTCAATATAAATCTGACATAATGTATTGCAATTGTACCATGTGATACATTATTTTAAAGCGTTTAAATTTAGCTTTAATATGCTACATTTATATTTAGATTGAATGATTATTCAAATTGAAAATGAAACCTAAACAAGACGACACTCGAAAACGTGTGTACAACTTCTATATTGAAAATAAAGAAAAAGGCAAAAAGTACACCGTAGATCATTTTGAAAAAGAAAAAATTGCCAGATGGACCATCTATGATATAATTAAACGTGCTGATGACGATTCTGGATATCTTAGACGTCCTGGTTCAGGAAAAAAAGCTCTAAAAATGACCCAAAAAAAAGTACAAGCGTTAAAATCAATGTTTGATCATCATGATGGCGTTTCTTATAGGAAAGCAGGTAGAAAATATCAGCTTCTTATGCCCATAAAATTATTCAGACAAAATCAAAGATCAAGAAAAGAAAGAAGAAAAAGATTCCACATCGAACTGATGATCAAAAACTGATGGTAAAAACAAAGTGTGGTAGATTATATCGAGCTTTTAGCAAATTTGATTGGATCATTGATGATGAATCTTATT